TGAGAGAAGCCGACAGACAGGCAGGCAGGAAGATAAACAGGAAAGGAAAGTCAGACAAACAAATGGACCTACAGACAAACAAACAGACATGCCGACAGACAGAAACAACAGAGTCTTTCGGAACTGAATAATATTTAGATTTAAAATCGAAGGATCCCCTGTCTACAACTAAACATTTAAAAGAAAGTGTAAATGTAATCGATCTGGTGTTAGAGCCCAAGTGGTACCCATAAAAACTGTGCTGGTGACTGGCAAAAAGATTTTTACATTTAAAAAAGCAACCTTTTATTGACCCCAGAAAGACAATTTGGTTTACAATGACAAACATACATACGCACATAAATACACACTTATATACATACATACATAAATACATAGGCATATACATATACATATACACAGCGGCAAAAGAAACTTTCTACGTAAAGAGAAGCCTGTATTGTGCTTATTATTCAATATAAAAAAGCAAAATTTGACACAGACAAATTTCAAAGTATGTCAAGAAGTCTATTACAATTTGTTTCTTGATCATGTTTCATAATAATATGGTGGCACAGGGTTAAGCAAAAACAGGTACCCCCTTGATAAATACACAATGTTACATTGATACAGAACAACCTCACAACCATGCCATTGTTGGTCGCCACCTTGCAGCACCTTGGAGTTTTTTTAATATATTTTTTTTAAAGCTCTAGGGTTGTCGTGTCTTGCTCAAGGAACACCACAGTGACCAACCATCTTTTCCCCCTGTCACCGACACTTATTTGACTTTACTGTGGAGCCCCCTTTGAGTAGATTATACTTACTTTACTTTTACTTTGTAAGTTATAGATTATAATACAAGTAATATTACCTGCTTGTTCCTGGGTTGTTTCTTTTGATGTAGTTCTAGTCGCCCCGCTTCCGTGTTGCCTTGGGGCGGACTATCTTTGCTCACTGCAGAGGTAATGATGGGTAGGCGTTTTATACCATGATGTTATCAAGAACACAAGCTAGCCGCATGACAGGTTAACCTCTGATATCCCCAGTTTTATCCACTGAGTACGATATATGTGCCTGGATGTGTGATAACAAGTATTGTTACTTTTCTTGGTATTTTTTACGGGCTTTGGTGTTAATTCCAAATCCTTTACAGAAGAGATTCCGTGTCCGCATAGGGAACTTTGT